GGACAGGCGTGTTCAGGTAGCACAGGGTTTCTTAAAAACCTTAGAAATCAGGAGATATTTATCATAGCCTTGGATTTGGCAAAAGATTCTTAGATATGACACCAAAAGTATGAGAAAAAAAGAAAAAAATAGATAATCAGAGATTTATAAAAAGTAAAAACTCTTGTGCTTCAAAGGATTCCCTTCGGAAAAAAAAGAAAGGGAAAAGATAACCCCCAGAGGGGATAAAATATTTGCAAATCATGTATCTGATAAAGAACTTGTATCCAGAATGTGGAGAAGAACTCTTACAGCTCAATCATGAAAAAGGTGATCCAATTTTTAAAACTATTTTTAAGTTAAAATTTTAAATATTTAAAATAAAAATCAGGAGATTTTGTTTTAAAATCCAGCTGCCCTGGAAACACTGAAAGAACTGACCACTCCGGGCTCACAACCCTTCATGGCAGTGATAGGCTAGAGCTGAGCTGTGGCCACCTCTTCTAAGTGAGCTCCCCAGTCCCCATTACTCCACAGTGTTCCCCAACTCAGCCTACTTTCCTCACTGAAGCCTACTGAAGGTGGGGAGGGCTCCTAAGGTCATCATCCAATCACTCTATGGCATAATCTCTTTAAGATTAAATTTATTCTGGTGCTGAGTTGGAAGTTTTTTGTGTTCTGTTTTTTTTAGTATCTTTTTCTTCACTGATTTTATCAACATATTCCAAGCAAACTCTTAGAAAGCCAAGAATGTATCATATATTTTGCATTTCTCACAGCACCTAACTCAAGACTAAGAGCAAAGTTGATACTCAATGTTTATTGAATGAATGCATATATGAATGAGTAAATAAATGCTTCTCTGTGATCTTCTTCAATATCTACTCTTCTTGCCCCAAATTCTAGACTTACGCCATTAAGAGGATGGCCTAAAATGAATATGGATGCGTTAAAAAAAAGCCAAAAAACACTGAAGTCAATCACTGCATTTCCATTTTCATTTTCTGTTAGAGTGAACTGGCAATGGGAACTCCGAATAAATGCAGAACAGACCCTTATGTCTGACAGCAGGATGAATTAGAGCCCAAGATACCGGAGAATACCCGCAAGTAAGATTGCCAAACACTATCAGTGATCTTTGAGGGAACTGGGAAAAACAGGATAGGTGTCAAAGAGCTGGAGATGGGCAAATGTTCTGATTTTCAAAAGGAGTAAGAAGTTATAGCTCACCAGCTCCAGACTAGAGAATATAATGTCACTCTTGAACAGATTCATAAAGGGACACTTGCGAGCACCTGGGAGAGGAAGCAGTGTCCACCTGGAGCCAGCACAGGGCCACCAAGAACAAGTCACATTAAATTCATTTCATTTTCTTCTCTCTGGCAAGGTTCCTAGCCTACTGGTTGGAGAAATATAACAGATATATATGGTGCAATGAGGGGGTGGGCAGTGAAAAAGGCTAATTCAACCCTTGGGCTATATTAATAGAAGCATTACGTACACCATAAAGGAAGTGATAGTTGTTTCCTTTCTCTGACCACATCTAGAGAATCTTTTAGAACTCAGTACCACTCTTGAAGAAGACTTTTGACTGTACTGTATTTTGGAGGTCCATTTGGCAGTCTCTTGAAAAGCATAAAGCTCGGTTCCAGATTACTGACATCTGTTGAAAAAACTGAAAGATCCGGCTAGGCCTACATTCTAAATGGTAACAACTGGCTGAACCCAAGTGGTGACTGCCCATTTGGACAGGACACGTGCTCTCGGGCCTCCCATCATCACCACGCCCTCTTATACTGCCCTGGCTGAGGTGGTAGGCCAGCTGCCACAAATCATCTTACTGAGCCGGCTTCACTCATTGATTCTATTTGCCAAGAATTCAAAGACACTGGAGTTTGCAACCCAGGATGCAGTAGCTCCAAAGGAGGGTGAAGATGATAAGCAGCAGCGAACCATCTTATATGAACAAATGAGAAATAAGCATAGTCCAGGGATATGATCAGAATCTCCAAACACCCAATGGGCAGTCATGGGGAAGAAGCACCTGTCTTGTTCTATGAAGTCCCAAGTTATAGAACCAAAACATGGATGAGAGACATACTCAATGCAACATAAAAACTGCTTACAACAGCCAGAGCGATCCAAAACCAGAATGTGTGGGCTTGGGAAGTGGTGAGTTCCCCATCACTGGAAATGTGCAGACTATGGTATACTACTGGGTTGCAGGTAAATAATCAGAAGGATTCAAGTGTCTAATGAGGCAAGAGAAGATTCTGAGATTTTTCACAATAGAAAAAAAATCTGTTTTAAAACATTCCTTTTTGTTAGCTCAGTAAATTCTTCAAAAAGAGAAAAAAGAGACTCAGCCAAGAAAAAACTCAGTATCATTTTTAAAAATCAAAAGTTCCCCTCAGAAAATGCACAGAGAATAAAATCTGTCAAACTAGGTGGAATGTTTGCACCAAATTCGCCAAATGATACCCAGGGAGAAAGGTAATTGGCATCAGGCATTATTTTGGTGATTGGTCAAACGCTCTTCAGAGGCAAGCAGCAAAGGCAGGGGAGGAAAGTAAGAGGGTAAACAATGGACCGTGACTGAGAGGCAAACAGTCCCCACCACAAGACTGCCATCTGCTACTGACATCAATCCTTCAAGGGGCAGCTTCAGGCAAACAGTGTACTGGGGACACTGGGCCTGGAAGAAAACCAGCTGCCTTTCATAGCTCTCACCTTGTGACCTTGGGCAAGTCATGTAACATTTCAAGGCCTCAGTCTCCTCATCTCTAAAACCGAGCTCCTACATACCCCTTCTGTACTTGGTGTACGCCAAGGGGGGTGATGTCTCAAGCCCTGTACACATGTCAGTAGTTATGATGAGGATGAACAAACAGAATTTTGAATGAAAAGATTCCAGACAATTTCAGGCACAGCAGCATCCTGACCTATATTGTGTGGTTGTTGACCCTAAAGGAATGAAATTAAATTCCTTTAGCCAGAATGCAGAGACATTTACAATCTGGAAGAGACCAGCTCATCTGAACAAATTTCCTAGTGAAATATATTCCCTTGCCCTTGCTAATTAGTTGTTAAAATAAAGGTGAAAGGTAAAAAGTAAAAGAATCAGCCAGAGCAATAAATGCCTAATTGATCCTCAAACAAACTTTATGGGCCCAGGGGTAGCAATCCTTTAAAAATGAGATAAGCACATTTCCTACCAAGACAATGTGTATAAAAATCCCAAACTGTTCAAAACTCAGCATACCCTTCTCTATTACGGTATTTTTCAGAGGAAACTCCGTTTAAAAAAATAATAATAATCAGCCAAGTTAGTCTTATAAAACGTAGACTCCCTAAAAAAGTGTATATGCAAAGGCTGAAACCAGGCTTTTGTATTGAGCAGTTGGGAGAATTCAGATCTCTGACCAATAAAGGGCTGGTTTCTAAATTTTCAGCAAGGCTGAAACATCTTCAAGTCCCTGTTTTCTACATTGAACCGAAAACTAAAGAGGAAGAGCCCAGGGATGAGCTGGGTTTTCTGCTCATTTCACCCTGGGGATCCACTGAGAGGTGATTCGCATGCCAGGTTTGACCAGAACTAAAAGGCACAAGACGGCTAGTTAGACTGGAAACAAAACAAAGCTCTCCCTTGATGGCTGCTCCCCTCCCAAAGTTTCCCAAGCATCTTAAGTGTGTACAGCAGCTGTGATGTGCGGCCTCCCACCGCTCCTGGCGAGGCCACCCGACTTCCTGGGTCACTGAGCCTTAAGCAGCAGCAGCACCCAGAAGCAGGTGTGGCAACCTCAGGTCCCTGGAGCCCAAAATAACCAGCTTGCTCAACAGTCCGCCCGTAACCTCAGGGGCAGGCCTCGGCATCCCCTGAAGATGTATTTTATCTTTACTCTTTCTACCAGAGACCACAACACACCCTGTGTCACAACTCGGAGAACCGTGACAAGAAAGAAAACAGATGCCAAGAGTCACAGGCCCAGGCTTCCCTTGGGGTACACCCTGGGAGAAACCGTAAGTACGATGGATGGTGCTTTTAGGTTTCCCTTGCCAAGGCTGAGCCTGGAACTCAGGAGGGAGAGAGAAGCCCCAGTCTGGCTTGAATAAGGATTCTGCCTGGGTTTGTCTATGCGATTGTGTCCGGTTTCCTCTTTCGCCTTGCAAGTGTGGATTTAGGGAGCGGCTTCTGAGAGGAGTGTGCACCCAGTGAACAGCACCAAAGCTGGAACAAGCAGCCAGAGGTCATCTCACCCTCCTGGCAGGCTTCCCCTGGCAGCACGGAAGCCAGGCAGCGCCTACCCGCCGAACCCGCACACTGAAGCTGTTGGCTTTCAGGGAAGGCTGATGACCCTAAACGCTAGTGCACAGTGGTGATCGGGGCTGCACACTGCGAGAGAATACATTTTCTGCACCAAGCTCCCTTTTTATGCCTAAATGCCTGCATTAGTTTGGATCAATATGCTCCACAACAGTTAACCCATGGCAACCCAGGCCAGCCGAGAGTCACCGACAAAGAAGTGCAGCCCAGGGACACCGTTTCCCCGTGCACATGCATGTGAATTCCAGCCCAGAGAAAGGGGCACAGGCGAAGCAACAACAAAAACCAAAAAGGAGAAAGAAAAAAAAAGCAGATCATAAAATAATATGCATCATATTTAAGGGCTTTTTTAGGGCGGGGAGGGGAGGAGGTAGTGACTGTCAAAATGGCCTTAGAGTGGCATGTCACGGCCAAGATGATGGAGTATCCACGACACTCCTAAAGCCGGGCGTAGGAGCCTCCTCACACACCTGCAATGCAGTGATTGCAGCCCATTCTACAATTTGTCCTCCCAGCGCCAGCGGTCTCTGCAGTTGAAACCAGTCCGGACTTGTACAGCTGCCACTGTTCCTCCTCACAATAAGATTATTGATGCATAACAACATTTCAGGATGGCAGGGAGGAAAAGGGGAAAATAGCCAAAGCAAGAGAAAAAGGAAAGGGGAGGGGAGGCATGACTCCCCAGCCCAAATCTCACCTTTTATTTGGGCTTCATATTCGGCAATGATCTCTTTGTCTTTCTTGAACTTAGTTTGAGATGACATCTTCCAACGTGGCCAAAGGCACTGACAGGCTGTTGGATTTATTGCTCTTTTTCTTCCCGAGTCCTCTCTCCAGCCCTGGTAGTCACACGGCTCTGGTCGATTTCACAGGTGTAGGGGCTAATCTCTTTCACGGCTGCAGAGCCAGGGGAAAAATCCCTCTCGTTCTCAGAGGAAAATTCTCTTTACTCGCTGAAAAATGTCTCTAGTAGCTTGGTCCGATCAGCTCCTCTTGCAGAAGAACCACCACCCTAAGAGCACAGTAACCTGCCCGAGATTTTCAAGATTTTTCTTCCAAAAAAATAATAACTGAGAGTACTCTCACACACACACACACACACACACACACTCTCACGCGTGCACTCGCAGACTCATCCAGACACACACACAGTTGTGATGCACACACACACCCTCACACTCGCTCACACACACTCACACACACACACACACACACATCCACGAGAGGCGCGGCGCCTCCTTGGTTGTGCAGTCAGCCTCCGGCTGGCTTTCAACGGCTCTGGTAAGGAGATGGTCAGGTTGCCAAAGGGCCGGTCATCTCGCATCCTCCCTCCCTTCCACGCCTCTGGTCTGATGTACAGTGAGGCTCAAAGCCAGGAGAGCGAGGTGGAAGTTCTCCTGCTGCAAGGCTTAAGCTCGGGTGAACCAGGGGCCGGACTGCTCGCCCTGCAGGGCTGGCCGAGCGCTCCCCCACGCTCTCGTCATCAAGCTCCACCTCCCGGATTTTATAACAACTGACACATTGTAGCCTACAGGAGAGCAGAACTCACTGCAAGCAAAAAGGGGAAGAAACGCTCACAAAAGGGAAGGAGGCAGGAAAAAGAACGGAGCTGGGAGGGCCTGAGAGGCCCCTGCAAACTCCTACCATTATAGTTGGCTGAGGGATTTTTCCTCCAAAAACTCCAAAAGGTCCACCTTTTCTCTGCAGTGTGCAATTTAATTCAATTTCTCGAAGCATGACTAGGTGACAGTTTGTCACTCTGCCGGAATTGTCTAGCAGAGGAGAGGGGCTGACCCATGTAGGCAAGCTCGTTAATATGTGCTGAGCAATTACAGGGCCACGGGAGCAATGCCAGGCGTCTCAACGCAGCTTTGCAAAGCCAGTGGGTGCGAGCTTGAAACCCAGCTGCCTCAGGGTCTTGTGGGCTTTAGGTAAATCAATGACTCATTGAGCTTCAGTTTCCTCACCAGTAAAATGGGTTCTCTCTGGAGGCTTTTCATACTTTCTTTCGACAAATATTTACTGAAAGCTTACTATAGGTCAGGCATTGGTCTGGGTATGGGGACACAACATTGACCAAACTAGGCAAAACAAAAGCAAAAACAAACAGAAAACTACACAAACACACACACAAAAAACCGCTCCCTGCCCTCCTGGAGAGCAGGATCTCCAAATCACCCAAATCTAGAAAGTCAGCCCCAGTTGTGTTAATATTCTCAATAAAAGCAGCCCTGTGCAGAACTCAGAATGCATTGTGAATGGTGCCTCTTGAAGTTATACAAGACAAGAGGCCCTGGGAGGGGATGAAAAATAAACAAAACGAGTCAATTATTATAATACGGCAGAAGATGAATGCTATGAAGAAGATAATATTGTAAGGGCATTCAGAAAGGAGGGAGCTCTTCAGAGGCTCGAATAAGAATGCGAAGCTAAGCTTAGCACAGAGCCTGGTAGTGAGCACTCAGTGAGTGGGAGCGATTATTATCACCCACGATATCCCCCAATGACCTCACAACATAGTGCAAGCATCCCTCTTTCACAGGTAAGGAACAGAGGCACAGATATGGGAAGTGACTTGCCCAAACCCAGGCTGTCTGATCCCAGATTCTGCCCATCAAACACGCCACACCTCTGGCATTCTACTAGAGATTAAACCCATTTCACATGCACTTAAGGCAGAATGAGAACTGTTCTGTAAAAATGAAACTGCCACTGGAATTTCACATATTAAGATCATCATTAACTTGTATTGTCCCGAGTGTATTTTCACAAATTGCTCAAAATAATCTTTCATTTGCCTTTTTCTGAGTGTATAATAAGTGATCTGATTTGGGTTCGGAAACGAATAGGTTATCCATGATAGTCCATTTAGACTTCCTAGAGAAAATGTGAGTTGTAGTGGGTCCTCCCAGATAGGAATGGGGAGGGGAAGGGATTCCTACGGAGCAAACAGTATGAGCTAAGGCCTACAGGTGGGAACGCCTAGGGTCTTCTTGGAGAAAGCAAGGGAGAAGTCCAGCTGGTGAACCATGGGGCTTATTACAGCTTCATGCAATTCATAAGGAGATGCCCACAGCCGTTGCCATCACCCCCAGCCATCACCATCACCCCCTGGCCTCTCCCTTCCCAGATGCATGCTCAGGCCCTATGCAGTCCCATTCTGGACCACTGTAAAGCAACGAAAGCCACGCGTTACCTCAGAAAGATGTGCTCAGAGATTAGCATCCAGGCCTCAGGCCTAGACTCTCAAAGGAAAATGGGAGTTAGTGCCTGGCTCTGGCATGGACTAGCTCCAAAAACCGGAACAAGAGACTTAACCTGCTTGTTGCCTGTTTAAGGCAGGAACTAGTCCAAGTCAGCTGTTCTCCATGTCCCTAAAATTTTAAATCCACAAAGATTTCTGGGAGACCCATGCATAAGGCACGGAGCCACAGAAATGTCACAAAAAGCCATACAAAACTGAAGCGAAGTATGGTATTGAGCTATGTGCTGAACAGCAGAAGAAGCTGGATTTTGGCGTAAGGCAGATGGTGATTTAAATTCTGGCTCTGCCACTTACCAGCTTGTGGGGGGCCTTAGGTAGCTCCTGTGCTTTCACTGAGGCTCAGCTTCCTCATCTATAAAATGGTGGGGATCTAACTCCTCGCACAGGGTGCGACGTGATCATGGATTTAAAGTGCCTGGCATTTAGCAGAGGTCCCACAGACATTATTTCTTTCTTAGGGCCCAATCATGCTGAGTCTAGGACCATAGTTGGGGCTCTGCGGATCTCTTGGTTGGGAACAGGGAGAGAGAAAAAAGAAAAAGGGAAAAAGAAGAAAAGGGTTGTGCCTTCCACAAATACATCACTGCACAATGTGAACCCACAGCATCCAGAATCTTCCTTTCCCAAGAAGAGGGGGTGGGTGGGCCCTTGCTCTATTCTTCCCACCACACAGCTCACCCCAGCCTCCCGGCTGCCCTCTGTGACATCCCCCCCGTGTGCCACTTCTTCCTCGCTGTATGAGGACCAACTGCCACTGTGAATGATTACCCTTCACGTGGCAGTAACAGAAACCAGATTGCTCCAAAAATAACTGTGGTATCCCACGGGACAAGGGGTTCCACCATGTGATTTGATCTGTGCCACCCCCCCAAGGATGGGACTACCCCCCTGGAAGGGTATACTGCCCTTCCCTCAGGCTCATTTCCTAGATTTGTTTAGATATTCCTGAATTATACTAATAGCTAATATTTATTAAGACTTCATTCCATACAGACACTGGGCCAAGTACTCTGTGCAGATTTTATCACTGACAAAAGATTTTATTAGTGGGTCAGGTGCTGTAATCACCCTTGTTTTACAGCTGGGGGAACGGAGGGACAGAGCAGTGAAGCAATTCGCCCAGGATCACACACCCAGCTACCAACTGAACTGCACGCAAGCCCAGGTCTGGCCCTCCCAGAGCCCAAGGAC